TCGCAGTTTGTTATCGATGCGCGAACCTTGTCATTTTTTGACGTTTGTAGAAAAAATTATGTTAATGCAACGTTATGATAGTTTATGGTCGAGTTCAATTTTCTCCTGAAGATGCTAACATTATAGCGAAACAAGTGAAAAACGGTGAGTGAAAAATGATGAATATTTATTTTTATGCACTATCGGGCGGTGAGGTGCACTTTATCGCCCAGATTTGCGGGCGTAAAGTGCTACTTTACCGCCCGCGGGTCCATTATCGCCCTCGGGCTATAAAGTGCACTTTACCGCCCGCTGTTCTCAAGTCCCTTATATTAACACATCCATTTGTGGAATACCTATATTTATATATATAAGCTGATTCTATCGTTATGATTATGATACATGTTATTGTTCATCCCGAGGTTCATCCGATTTCATCTTCCCTATAACTTCCTTCCATGAATACTTGCTTTCTGGCTGTCTGAAGTTTTTAGCCAAGAGATGACAATTACAGCTCGTTTTTTGGATGTATAGGTAGCTATATACTGGGTATACATATTGTTACATCTCAACTCAAGGAATGAATCTCAGTTAGTGAACAAAGAGATTTACTCTTACGATATTCGTACGGTAATTTTAATATGTAGATTATAAACATAAAAACACAAAACTGAATTTATGAGTAAATATGAATTGTAGTTTGTTGAAATCTAGTCATTACCTGTGACTCGGGAAATAAACCACTAGTGCATAAATTTTTGTATGTATCACGTACATAAAATGCGTTTTTGAGGCTGTGTTTTTATGAATCAACGGTTTATTTTCAACAAAAATAACTTTATTTCGGTGCTGCGTGATATTTTTTTCGTTTTTTCTGTAACAGTGGCAGTCAAATTCTCTTGTACCTATGTTTCTTTATTTGTTTATAAAAAATATTTCAATGACTTCATTTCTTGCCCCAGTTTCAGACCTAGCATATACTTAAACATGAACGCCATATCTGTGTTCGACACAAACATATAATTACAGCTATTCATAGGTACGCCTATCCCGTGTGAAATACATTGTATATTACTTATATGTCCAGCTGTATGTTTGATGCATTCGGTATACTTAATTGAGCTTTTAATGAGAAATGAAACTAACAAAGTATAATCGAACTTCAAATTGAATTCTCAATAGAAATCGAGTGTCGAGTGAGAAAGTTTTCAATAAATTCACGAAGTTGATTTCTAATGAATGTTTATCTGGTTAATCGACATTTCGTTCATATGTCGTTTCAAATGGTACGAAAATGATTGAAGAGTCCATCGAGTACTATAACTATTGGCACTTCATCAAATATCGTTATCAATTGATTTGTTGTAGTCCCTCCTAACAGGGACCAAAATGGCCCATTTGATCCCTTGAGAACGGACCTTTATCTTTGAACACTGGAAATCGAAATGTTGGCCACTGTTGGCATAGTTCCACCTCGCTGTTAGACGAAAGCATAAAGGGGATTAAATGCGTTGTGAAAAAGTTCACCATATAATCCCCAAGGTTATATGTTTTTTAAACTTGAGTAGTGGTTTAGTTACCTCAGATTATTTCAACTAAATTATTGCAAGAAACCTTGTTTTTCTGTTCAAATTCCACTGAATGATGGATCAAAATTAGGTTAGTACCGAAGGTACTACGAATATTATTTGGTATTGACATTGGAAGATTAGACTCAATAGTACATTGCTTTATTAGGATCAGAAGTCTAGCGAAGCCGAGCAAGTGCTCACTTTTGATCAGAATGACACATTTTTTTTGCAAACGAAAGAATTAATTAAAATAAATATGTGAAGTTCCACCAACACTTGACAGATTATTATAATACCATTATTAGAATAATATTGGTAAGTAGATATAGAAGCAAGACCTCAGACTACTTTACATTAGAATATTGGTGTACGATGACTTTACTTTGTTACAATTTGTGTTGACTTTCATCATCAGATACTACAGGCACGAATTCAATACTAAACCCGAAACGTGAATGGCGTGCCATATTATGAATGCAATGCAACAAATAATCCGTGTGTTCAGAATATTCTACCCGCATTTCCATATCAGGTTTATTCAATTTTCAAGGATGTTTGATATAAATACAACCACAGAGTGGCCCATTTGTGTATTCTATTGAATAGATGAATCGATGAATTCATTTGCACGGAAAAAAATGGTCCAAGTAAAATGTTTTCCTGACTTGTTTTGTATCGGGATAAGAAAAATAATACCTATTCCAGAAACAATTTAATTCAGCCTCTAGTAAAATGATAATTCTGAACGCATGAACTTGTAGCTATAATTTCATCCACCTATAGCAAATAGTTTTCATCTTAGATAATTCACTCTGTATAGCCACAGGAAAACATCTTATAAGCGCTGGTGAAGTGTATTTCAGACTTTATTAACTTCGAGTTTCTGAAAAGGATATAATAACTACAGAAACTCGTGTTACAAGCACAATACAATTGTTTATCTGCGGTACAACCCAATATACCTACGGTAATACAGTGGTTCACCTGCCCAGTAATCGGGAATAATCGTCGCCCTCTCGTGTTGTATATCCGAATCCATCAGCGTCACTACTGTCACTAGCGTCAGTTTCGTCGAGACTTCGTGAGAGTATGTTCAGTGTGAGGATTTGGTGCGCGTGGTTAATCGAAAAATAATTTTTGGTGTTGTATTCATTATATTATGCTGAGGAAGTATGACTCATCACCACGAGAGGTATAGAAGGTGCCATTCAGAATCCCTTTTGGGGGCGGCCGAGAGTTATAGACAACCAATAGTGCTGTTTTACTTTCTATCGATCTGTTATTCACTTAGAAAAAGTTTATCATTGTGTAGAAATGACGTTATTCATAGTAGTGAGTCCTAAAATAAAACTCTTTCATGTATTTTGCTGATGATATGTAGGATGAATTGACATTACATAGTAGGATTCCTGTTCAATTAAAACTGGTGGAAACCTACATTTTTTGTTTCCTTTCCTCAACGAATCATTAGTTTTTTTTTATTTCTCACAACGTTCATATTTCTTTACGAGTAACTGTTCATCAATTCATCTGAATGATGTATTGAGACAACCATTCAACAACGTATAGAACAGTGCCAATTATGATTTCAAACAGAAATATATCAATTTTATTAATTAGCCGATGGCCACCCTTATGGTACACTCGGAATCCCATATTATTAATAATTGTCACTCAGAAAACATTTGCAAGATATGAACTGAACCATTGCTTTCTTGGTGACATTGAATCATTATTCATTTCATGGTGAATTGAAAATGTATTGTAAGAAAATAAGGCATGATACATTACAAATGAATCAAATGATCCTTGTTTGAATGATGCCAAGTGAATTAGGAGTGAAGACAGGAAGAAAGTTCGACTGAGTCTGGTGTGTCCCGATAACAAAGATGGGATGAAAGCTATCCAAGGTAAGACATTATAGATGAGGCCAAGTGAATCAAGATAATTATAGTTATTGAAATAAGCACCTAGCCAATAATGTCGTTGCATAACTCCAAGTGAAAAGTACACTACCCACAAGTGAGGTATTCTATGAGGCCAAGTGAAACAAGTCATTTATACTTATCGAACTGACCACCTATCCAATGATTCAGTTGTATAACTGCAAGTAAAATGTACACTGAGGCCAATAAAACAAAAATTCTGTCCCTAATGAAGCGTTTAATATCAGTAGGTTACATGTGTTCCTGAAATCACATTAATAACAACAAGTGATCAGATTCAGAAATATCATTTTTCTTGTGGCTGATGAGGCGAGTACTTGTCCCATATAGTATGCAAATTTTTACTTGGTAGTATGCAAATTTCACTAGCTGTTATTAAAGTTTTTTTTCCGTGTGGTTGGACCAGGTGTCAGCCCTAATAGCAAATGCTGCGCCAGTGCTAGGTATAGGAAAAAGAAGTGGAGATTAGTGGGCATATCAACAATAATAGCGATTATTCATTCCTCTCCATATTCCACTGTGTGTGGCTCGGTAATCAAATGAAAATAAACAATAGCGTTGAGTGAGGCAAAAAAGTATGGAAATCTAGTCATTACTTGTGACTCGGGAAATAAACCACTAGTGCATAAAATTTTGTATGTATCACGTGCGTAAAATGCGTTTATGCACTAGCGGGCCGTAAAGTGCACTTTACCGCCCGGTTTTGCGGGCGTTAAGTCGCACTTTACCGCCCGCGGGCTCATTATGGCCCACGGGCCGTAAAGTGCACTTTACCGCCCGCTGTTCTCAGTTACCTTATATCCACATATCAATTCATGAAAAAACTATGATCATTTTCCTAGATTCTAATATATCCAGCGGTATATCATAAACTTCTTCTTTATCCGATTCCATATCTATCGCTATTATTATTATCACTAATTTTTACTTTTCAGTCAAAGAATGACAATTCAGCTCGTTTATTGGATGTATTGATATAGACAACAACCATCAGCTTGATTGACAACGTCAAAATTAGTTAGGTATATATACTGGGTATGCATATTGTAAAATTCTGAAGAATGAGTCTCTTCTAGAGATCAAAGAGTTTTACTATTACGATAATTGCAATATTCGTACGATAATTTTCATATGTAAATCATCATCATCATGAACATTACGCTTCTCTTGATTACTGAATTTATACGCAACAAATCAAATTCGGGGGAATATTAGTTTATGGAAATCTATAGTCATTACTTTTGAGTCAGAAAATGAACCACTAGTGCATAAAATTTTGTATGTATCACGTGCGTGAAATGCGTTTATGGCCTTGAGCGTGTAATGGCCCTCGGCTAGCGCCATCGGGCCATTATTCACGCCACAGGGCATAAACGCCTACTTTACGCCCTTGATACATAAATAACTATTATAGCCTACTTTACGCCCTTGATACATAAATAACTATTATGAGAAAGCGAGTGAGTAAGTGCCTAAGTATACTATTCTTTGCGAAGTTAATTACCTCTTCCTTGGTCGTCGAAATTTGTCTTTTCTCTCTTCCATGATATATCTTCGGCTTCACGAGAGTATGGCGACTGAAATCTGAGACAGGATGAAGTTGAGCTGCAACAAAAAAATTCAGTTTTAGAAGTTATGAAAACATTCAACCGCGATTATAAATACTGATTGTCTATGTCCACATTGTTATATATTTCAATTTTATAAAGATACTTTTCTACAATTTTATAATTCTGTAGACAAAATTCTATGAAGCATGTCTGAAATGGGGTCAAACCATGCCGACCACTATACTAGATAAGTAGATACTATAGGGTGTTTAAAAAAGACGCGGCAATATCTAAAGGGGGAATCACCCCGTCTTTTTTAAACACCCGTTTATAGGACGAGTATTCTGCGCCCCCACTTTTTATGGGCCATAATCGATTTATTTGAAAAACGAAAATTATGATATGATTCCATCAGAATGAGATATTTGGATTTTCCTGAAAGGGTCTTCATAGAAAAAGCTCAAAGATTTTGCGGAATTTTCTTCACAAAATATAAAATAACTTGTCATTTTCAAGGCTTAGCTTAGGTGCAAAGTTGATAACAATGTAGTAAGCTTTTTCGTACTCCCAGAGGATACCACATATTTCAATCTAGGACCTTATACATGATGTTTTCTTTGTGGAATAATCTCGGAAATAATCAATTTTGCACCATGAATAATTGCAGGAATTACAAAAATACATGGTATATTTCCACTTATAGGCAAGACTCAAAGATGTTTCGTGCGTTTATACAGGGTGATTCACTCGAGACTATCCACCCACAATAGCTTCCAAGAAAATAATTTCACAAAAAATAGCCAAAACAGGACAAATTTAGTTGGGAAGAGGACACCGTTTCACGTGAAGAAGGTATTATGATTATATACTTCATTTCCTAATCCCTAGACTATAGAGCAGTGGTTTTCAGAAGGGGCGATAGCGCCCCCTTGGTTCAATGGGCGTGTACACCTTAGTAGAACTTTTACTCAAACCATGTTTAAAATGATCCTTCTATACATAAATAATGATTGATAACATAATTCGATCGAAAAATTAACTGGAATGTTTTATTTTTGGACATAAAATAATAGTACCTTCAGAAAACGGTCCCTCTTATGACGTAGAAACCTCATCTCGCCATAGTTAAAAGAAAATACCAAACGCCCGACGGAGACTGAAGCAACTGATGTATTAATTCTTTCAACTGTGATCTCGCGCTAATTCACTCTGTCAGAAATCATGTATCATTCATCTCTGTCTGGAATAGTCTTGTTTCAGTATTAGGGTTTTGACGTCACATCATCGCCTCGTTTCCAGAGGTCCGAAAAATCGGGGATTTCAATAATTTTTTATAAAACGTAGGGAGCTCACAGCAAGAAACGGTTTGCGGTGGTGAGCTAGTTTGGGTGAGTTCTGTCGAATTATGAAATAAAATTTTTTTGTGATATAAGCCCATTGACTTTGAAATATATTCTATTGGAATATAAGCGGCATTTCACTGAACGCGGAGACTTACGCCTGTTTTGAGTGACTTTAAGCCTCGCTTTAAGCCCAATATTGCTCAACTCGTTAAAGTGCATCTGATTCATCCCTCACATTAGTTTCCTTTACATATCAATAGATAGTAGATTGTTTTATTAGGATCATAAGTGACACTTTGTTTGACAAGCGAATTTTGCATTTGCGAGGCGGAGCGTCTAGCGAAGCCTAGTATAAAAGGATTTAGGTAAGTGAGCATATCAAGAATAATAAATGCGATTATTTATTTCTCTCCATATTCCACTGAGTTTGACTCGGTAATCAAATGAAGATGTACAATATCGTTGTGTGAGACAAAAAAGTATTGCTGGCCGTGATTATTCAAAAACAAGTTATATAATCAATCAGATCACGAGAATAACAAATGAAATACAGATCAAGTAAGTATGTGAATCTTGAAGGTTTTCCTGAACAAAACAAAAATACTTAATTGTAATGTGGTGTATTTATATCCAGCATGGGTATGAAATGCCAAATCGGGAACAAATCAGGTATGCGTCCCAACCCAAATAACCAACCATAACAATGTTGTTTATTCTTGATGACCTAGTACATTCTTTCTAGTAACGAAGAGCTAAAGTTCAACTTTAGCTCCTAGCAACATACCTATGTTTGTGTCAGTAATATTAATGTCAATTCAAGAGCTACTTTTGGTATTAAAATGGACGACTCTTGTGTCGGTTGCAAAAAAAATTTTTAAACGTGATTAAGTATGTGTCCTTTTTTATTTATCTCTCTCAGAGAAAAAAAGTATTCATGTTTGAGCTCAGAAGTAAGATATCGCCATCATAATGTCCTAAACTCGTATCTCTTCAGTAACCGAATTAAGAAAAGGACCTCTTTTTATGTATATGTTCGCCAATTTCTCGGGAACCACTTGACGTTTTTCAATATTTTTGAGCTCATTATGTGAGGGATTACTCCAAGTTGGTCCCAGCCCAGAGAGGGTATATATAATTTATCATAATTATCAAAAAGTTTTGGGGGCGCTACACACATTTTTATTCTCAAAGTGGGCGGTGGGCCAAAGAAGTTTGAGAACCACTGCTCTAGAGTAGACCCAATAATTTTGATAAGGAATACGGGTCGTGTCATACATCATTTTGAAGGTAATTCAATTCTAACACTAGCACAGTCCACAGTTTCCCGAATTTGAACAAAGTATGTACTAGAGATATTAGAGCTTGAAGTCTTACAATGTTTTCTCGAATTTTTCAGTGAATAAGCAGATTATCAGTAAGTCGAGGGGTAAATCTCCTTGGAAGTCTGGTGTACACTGTGTCCCATTTTGGTTGAGACTAAACTGTATCTCAGCTATTATTGAAGATAGAGATATGCGGTTTCTTAAAAAAATTCAGAATACGCCACTGACTGTAAAAACATCTATTATAAGCAGTTTTCATTTTTTTTCCATCTTATACAGGGCCTGAGAAATATTAACATCTTCAAAAGTGAACATTTCCGTTTTCGCCCTGTATTTCAGGAACAAAAGTAGTTGGAATATTTCTGTTTGTGACTTTGAAAGTTTTAGATGAAATTGATACAGGGTCGCGAAAACCGCATGTCCCTATCTACAATAACAGCTGAGATACAGTGCAGTCTCAACCAAAATGGGACACAGTGTACACTCCGTTGGAAGTCTTCGGAATTCTTTGGAAGTCTTTGGGAGTCTTTGGAAGTCTTTGGTAGTCTTTGGATGTCTCTGGAAGTCTTTGGAAGTCTTTGGGAGTCTTTGGAAGTATTTGGAAGTCTTTGGATGTCTTTGGAAGTCTTTGGAAGTCTATGTTAATTGGAAGTCTGGTGTACACATTTTTCCTGGAGATTTACCCCTCGCAGTAAGTGGATAACTCGGTGGATAATATTTGAGTATGACTCAAATTCAGGTGCTCTTAAATCTGCAGAAAAGAATAAAAACGGAGCTAAAGTGAATAAGGACTAAAGCATTATCAATCATTTGTTATTTCGACAACTTCTCAATTACATCATGAGTTATGTTGTTGCATTTGGCAACAGTTTCATTTCCTATACTCTCGCACGAATTACTGATCTATAACAGTAATCCATTAGGATTGAGTATTTAATTATCCAGCAAATTGTTGCATTATATAATGATTACCTACTAGCTGCAATACTGCATGTACCTTTATTATCCGATATGTGATTACGCCATATTACGCTACCCACAAAACACAGTTATTTGATAGAAGATAGTTGGAGATAGATACTACTTGCCTATAGGTTATTTGATACATTATACGCTTACGATATCGAGATCATGAGTACCACGATTTTTACACTCGATATCTCGAAAACCAATGAAGCTATTATAGAAATATAACTTTTTCTGCTACAAGTTGTTCCATTTTACGAAGTAATGAAGGTTTCTGATCTCCCAATTCTTCTATATTGAATAGTTGCTGCATTCTTCTCTGTACGGAAGTAGAAGTTCTCTTGATGATCTTAGCTTTCAATTTTCCATAAGCGTTTTCATCTCGACTCTGGAGGGTTGAAGAGGATATCTCTTACTTCAGTAAAGTAATACATTATACTTTGTATCATCTGCTGTGATCATCCTTGTGGCGAATATACCATCAATTTGGGTGAGCCAAAACTCGAAGATTCTGAACTCTGTGTATTCTCGCTCGTCATTCTGGATCGTCTGGGTCACAAATTTATAGAAATATAACTAATTTCTATAATATTTGAAATAACAATACACGAGTATTTTATGACAATTTATCAAATGATCAACTTGGGCCAGTTATATAGCAACGTTACAAAATATGTAATTCATTTTATATACCAGACTGCTACACTATTATAAAAACTATAAAGCAAAATCTTTAATGAAATGTTGTTCTCTTTTGATCTCGCTTTTGATTAACGCTGTCGAAACTTATTTTTTCTACTGCGTATATTTATCTATACAGGCTTTCTAGAAATTAGCCTGGCAAACTTCACCAGCGGCTTCAACAACCAAAAATAGGAAAAAAAGTTTCAATGAACATGAGTCGAGTAATGTCTCCTAAGGGAGCTACGCCCCCCTGAAAGGGGGCTCCGAAAGATGATATTCCTTGAATATTTTCGAAACGCGACGTGCATAAAATGATGCAATTTGGTACAAGAACTAAACTTTTCATGTCCAATGCGGTGAACATAACATCATTCCAAAGTTTCATTCAGCAGTGTATAATACAGGGTGGGACTATATTGAATTTTGCTTTTTTGCATGCATATTTTCCGACAATTTAATCTCGGATTATGTTATTTTCCTAACATACAATCACTATCAAAATTTCAAGAAAATCGCATCATAAATAACTGAGATATAATTCAATGTTCGTCGTGGCATATAGCCAGGAAAGTAGTTGTTTTCTATTGAATTAACTGAAAAAGAGTAAATATTCTCATCACATAGAGAATGCGAATTCCCAATGTATTGTTTTATATATATATATATATCCATTTTTGTATGTTCATAATTTATCTGAGAATATTCATTTTCAATATTTTTTCAGATTTTGGGATCTTTCAA